TACACCCCTCAGCAGGAGGAGGCAGCAGCTCACATCACTGAGAAATCAAGTGGGCCGGCACTGCGTCAGCAGGTGGGGACCGTGGCCATTGCCTCTCTCCACCTTCAGTCTGAGATGAAGGTACATACCCAGCCCTACCCCTCCAGGGTGTCTGGGCAGCCCCAGCCTGGGGTTAGCATCTACACAAACAATACTATGCAGCTTGGGGAGACCACTTACGTTACCAGGTTCAGTCATGATTTATTGATGGGAATTTCAATTCCGTGATTTCAGAGTCGGGGGAGCTGCTTCCACTTCGGTCACTGTAGGTGTCCCTGGAGAGTCCAGATGGCATATTCGTTACCTCCCACCAAAAACTCACACCACTCCCGTTTTGCACCCCAGGGGCCCTCATCCGCACATGGCAGGTCCAAACCACGCACTCCACTGCATGTTTAACATGAGGCTAGGGAAGGAGGCACATTCAGCCTGGACTTCAGTCACAACACTCTGACCAGCAACTCCAAAATACGACTGGCTTCCGGAAAAGGATCCTCCTGGATGTCATCTATGCCCTGGGAAAGACCCCGGAGCACAGGGCCCAACTGCCAAGCAAACACACTCCAGGCTCCATCGGGTGGGGGCGGCCGACAAGCCAGGGGCAGCATGGGTGGGCCCAGGAAAGGTCCCTCGGCAGTAACGACCCCCTGGTCCCCAAGGTGGTTCTCATTCATAACCATGGGCGGCTGCTTCACAGTGGCTCAGTGTCCACCTAAGGGACTAAAAGGAGCCGTGGGGCTGCGCGCTGCAAGATCAACGGTTCAAACCCACCAGCCACGTGTTGGGAGAGAGGAGCCTTGGAATGAGCCCTGCAGGTCGCTGAGTCGGAACGACCAGGGTGGAGGGTGAGAGGCCGAGGAGCCCTGGGCAACTGTGGTCGAGCCCCGGACGGGAGAAAGATGAGACTGCGCTCCTCGACCCCGAGTCCCTGTGAGTGGGAACTGACTCCGTAGCAGTGGCCTTGGGTTTGGGCATTGGGAGGACTGGAAAGATGAGTGCCCAGTGGGCCCACCTGGGCGAGAGCCGGCAGCCCTTCTGGAGGTAATGTGGGAGCCTCCCAACAGAGGCCAGGAGGAGGCCGAAGTAGGGCGGGGAAGGCTTGATGGGCCTGGACAGGAACTCGGGGTGGTACTGAACCCCCACAAAAAAAGGGTGATCTGAAACAGAAAGGCAAGAGAAAGCTCCATTATACTGTTATGCATGTGAGCAGCAGAAAAAGAGCTTGTTAAAATTGTCTATTTCCACTGCCCCCGAAGGATTGGAAAATAATGTAAAAATGCAACCCTTCAACAGGAGAGGGCCCTGCCCTTCCTTCCACTCTAGAGTCTCTGCTCCCTGCTTCCCTGGCTCCCAGGACGTCCAGAGGGCAGGCCTGGGACGTCCCTGAGACCGAAAGGGGCTTTACTACCAAGGCCAGCCTCTCATTTGAAAGCCCGGAGGTGAAACCACGGTGCAGGAAGAACCTCCCGGCGCCAGACCCCTCGCATCGTCTGGTCCTCCCGCATGCCCAGGAAGCCCACCACCAGCCCTTCAGAGCAGCTGCCCGGGCACTCGCCTTCCAGCTCCACAATCTCCATGCGCTCTCCTTCAACGTCCTGGCCGACGAACTTGAGGCCTTGCTCCTCCAGGCACTTTTTCAAAACCGGATTGACCTGTTGAGGCACGCGAGAGGATGGGGCTGGCCTCTCAGCTGACTGCGTTTCCACCTGCGGGTCGCGAGGCTGGGGACTGGAGTCCTTACCTCAAACCTGTGGCGGTGTCTCTCCTCCAGGAACTCTGGGTCCCCATAGAGCTTTCCTGGCAAGCAAGCAGTCTGAGGTAAAGAGCCCCGCTTTCATCACCACCGCCACGTCCACAACACACCTGCCTCCCAGTCAGGCCTGGTGGGGCCAGTTCTACGAGCCTCTCCCAACCATGACCAGGGGCACCAGGAAGGCATTCTTGGACTCTCCTAAACCCTCTCAGGAACACTATAGCACATACAGGCTCCCCACCACCTGTGCCCTGATGAGCCCCAGAGCCAGCACCAGCTGGTTCAGGCCAGTCTCCGGCCATTGGACACACTGCCTCTGCCAGTGGGCTGCTTTACTGACTCGCTCCTGGCCACATAGTGAGGCCCCAACCACAGGACACCCACTCGCTGCCACGGAGTCAGTTCCAAATCACGGCAACTCTTTACAGGGGTCGGAAGCCTCATCTTTCTCCCAAGGAGGGCCTGGTGGTTTCAGACCGCAGACCCTGCAGTCAGCAACCCGATGAGTTAACCACTATGCAGCAGAGCACTGGGGCCAACCATCCCTAGCCTTGAGGACTACGAAGCCCCTAGACCAGCGATTCTCAACCTGCCTCATGCCGCCACCCTTCCTAATAGAGCTCCTCCTGTGGTGGTGACCCCCCAACCATAAAATGATTTTTGTTCCTACTTCATAACTGTCATTTTGCTACTGTTATGAACCAGGCGACCCCTGTGAAAGGGACATTCGATCCCCAAAGGCGTCACGACCCACAGGTTGAGAACCACTGTCCTAGACAAACAAGATTTATCACCAACAGAGTACAGGTGAGCTGTCCCAGCGGGCAAAGTGGGGCGGGGGTGGGGTTAGTATGTGTGAGAGAACTGGTTAACGAGAATATTTTTCCTCCCCCAAACCTTCAGCTCAGCAGTGTCAGGATGGAGGGGCCTCTGGCCTCCCGGAGCGAGTCCCCAGCACCTCCCCGCCCGCCAAGGTGCCCAGGCCGGCATGCGCAGCTTACTCATGACCGAGTGCTTGGTCTGGAACAGGGTTCTCCTCTTGCCCAGCCGCATGGTCCCGCCCATCTGCCCAGGGTTGTGCTCTGGCATGTCTATGACCTGGGTGTTCAGAAAGCAGACAGGCAGCCACCGCACTGGCCACTGTTCTGAGGCCATGTGACCCAGTTGGGTTTTTGTAGGATGCTGCTGTCAGTTGCCGTCAGTCTGACTCAGGCAACTCGACACCAGGTGCGCTCCAGGGTTGACAAGGCGGTGACCTCTCGGAAGCAGATCATTAGGCCCACCTCCCAAGTCAGTACCACGTTCCAGCAGTTTCTCAACAATATTCCCCTCTCTCAAGGCTGGTGCGAACCAGCACAATTATTACACACAGTGCTCCCGGGGGTGGAGATTCATGTTGACCAGGAAGCCCTCGTTGGCCACCCACCTGAAAATGTTCCTGGGCAAATGGGGAACAGCACTGGAAAGGACGCAACGAAGAGGAAGTTGCTCTTACCCAGTGAGCCTAAAAAGGCCAACCTTGGGCTTCTCTGGGATGGGCCCAAATGGCCCCCACCCCTTCCAATTCCTGCTGAGATTCAAACACGTGACTCACCACGGGGTGACTGGTCTTGGGATCAAACTCTGTAGAATTGGCATCTGAAAATCAAAATACCTGGTTAGGAGACTAGTTACAAGCAGAACTGATTGCCAAAGAGTTGCATTCCTAAGCTCCAAACCACATCTTTTAAGCCTTGAAATACTCAACGCCCAAGCTCAGGCCATGGTGGAAGCTGTAACTCTCGGAAGTCAAGCGGGTTTAGATCACCGACTGACCTGGCTTCCCCGGTTTGTTTCAGACTCTCCGAGACAGGCAGGTTCTATTTTTGTCTCCATTTCTGTCATCCCCACTGCTGAATGCATTACCCAATTCACTTGCCTCAATCAATGGCAAAATCAGAAATTCACTGATTTCAAAAGCCCAAGAGCCTTCCATGCTTTACAGAATTTACCATCTAATCCACACCCCAACGGCCCTGCACTGGGTGCCAGCGTGGCTGGTTCTGAGCCTGAGCCATGTCTCTGTGTGGGAGCCTGAGTGGAAGGCAGGCCCTGGCTGGGCAGGGGACCGTGCTGGGTGCTGCTGGTCGTTAAGAGCACCTGCCAGGTGCTCCAATGTCCAAGGACAGACAGACAGCCTACCAAATGGAGTGACTGTGAAGCACCAGCTCCCACCTACACTGTGTAGAGCCGGTACATTCCTCCGACATGATTTTATCCTTTCTTAGAACTTATAAAGTCTTTCTGGGCAAAAAAAAAATCCTAAGAGAATAAAAGGGCCCGGGCCCTGGCCCTGTAGTCCCTCCTCCACACAGACACTTGCACTGGAGCTTGTCATTTTGGAGACCACCCTGATGGGGTGAAGCAGGGGATGGCTGAACTAGCCTGCACAGGAAGACCCTCTGGACGGCCCTACCTCAGTGATGAGCACAGGTTCCTTTCTGTGATTTCAGACAACCCCCGCCCCGAAATGCATAGCGCTGCACAGCGCGCTCCCCTTCACTGCTCTGCGCAGGCACAGCACCGTTTACAAACAGGTTTTCTGGCAACCCCGTGCCAGGCGCGTCTTCAATGGCACATGCTCACTGGGAGCGCTGTGCCGCATTCTGGGGACTCGCCGCGTTTTCATAGTGCTACCACGCACTTATAGACACGACAGTGCGGACATCTAGTGGAAGCGGCCCGCAGTGGGCGCTGCGTCACAGGGGCAGAAGGTTGGGCTCCCCGCCCCCACCCACCTCATGTTGTTAGCTTTGATGAGCCACGTAGTCCGTCCATAAGCAGTCCCCTGCCCTGAAGCCAGCATGGCATGGAGAAGCCAGGAGCCCCGGAAGCCCAGCATCAGGCGTTCAACGGGCTTCCTTCCCGAGGGGCCTCCGAGCCGTCCACTAGTAGGAGGCTTCCAAAGGTTCAAGGGAAACGGAATTGAACAGGGAACAGACTTTCCACACACCTTAAGCGGTAAGTTTCCAAAAGGATGCTTACCTTGCCATCCCAGCACGTTTCTGGAGAATTCCACCACTGCCAGCTGCATTCCTAAGCACACACCTTCAAGTGGGGGAGAAAACAAACAGCGCCCGGTGAGCAGGCAGGTCTCGGGGGCAGCCAGCTGGCAGCTGGGAATGTGGTACCACCCCCACCCCCACAGAGCCCCCCCCAAACTGGGTCTAAGGGCACACAGATGTCCAAGCTTTGGAAAGTCATCTGTTTTACAGATAAGCAACATTCCTTCCGGCCCCTGCAAACATTCGGTTAAGAAAACCCCTTATTAAGCCTTCCAACTGACCATGGGGAAAATGAGTACAATGTACAGCCCCAGAGACCAGCTGGAGTGCCACGTGAGGGGCTCCTGCGACGTCAGCACGGAGCTCGCACACTCGTGGATGCTACAGGCGGGTTTACATCTCCCCCAAAGCGAACCCGTTTGTGTCAATGACTTCCCAGCCTTACGTAGGGGTGCCCGCCCGGTACCCTCACCCACTCCTTCCTGCTCAGGCGGACACGCAGCTCCTTACCCAGAAAAGGCTTCTTCTGTTTGCGAGCCCAGCTGATGGCCTGGATCTTCCCTTCTGTTCCTCGAACACCGAACCCTCCAGGAACCAGCACTCCGCTGCCCAACAGAAGAGAGCCCATGGTGCCCTTCCGCCCAGTCCAGCCTCCACCCCACCCTTACAGTCAGACAGGCTGCCGGCAGGCAGCGACACCACGTTCTGGCAGCTGGGATTGGGCTATCTACAGACAAACTGGAAGGCTGCATGCAAACACCTCAGGCTGAAACACACAGACAGCCATGGCCGCCTCTGAGCAACAGGAGAAACTGCTTATCGCCTGTGAGAAAAATACAGGCTGCACAGTTTAAAACATACAGGATGCTATATGATTCACACTGGCAAGTTTTCATTTGTGCCATTATCATTTAATTTGCCTGCACTGGACTCACAGAGGGTGTCTACAAGCCCCTGATCACCCAGCCTGTCTGTGTCCAGGAGCAGAAGGGCCTCCCCACACCAGCTCCGGGCCGGGCTGACGGAAGTCTCAGGAGGCGCTGGCATGTGACATCCGACCGGGGAGTGAAATAGAAACCACTCCGTGTTCTTTTTGAGTCACGGGGCCTTTGATCGATCAAAAGCAAACTATGTATGCGCGTCTCCTGGCGGGTCCCCGGCCGGTGCCCAGGGTGGAAGATGCCAGGTGACTGGAGCACACCAGCCAACTCTGGAGGAGCTCTCCTCGCCCTCCACTCGCTCGGGGCGCTGCGCTTGTATCCCTCGTAAGTGACAGCGTCTTTTCAATTACTAAAACCCAAGTCGGTAACTTGTACTAGGACTTCAAATCAAAACAAGACAGAGCGGGCTGGGCTTACTGCGCACTGCAGAGCTTCTGCCAGGCTTCGTGGTAGCGGACGGGCTCCTCCTGCAGCGTGCTCGGCTCCAGGTCTGTGGAGTCTATGTACTGAGGGGTTCGCATGGGAGGAAGGAGCACAGCATCACTCGACAGCGGGCGCCTCTCATCATTTTAGAGCGACATTACCGATATCCTAGCTGGCTCAGCTTCAAAACAGTCATCTTCACAGGCTTCCACTTACGTGTAATGCCCAAGTCCATTTTAAAACCTCCTTTACGTTTAAATAGGAGCTTCCTTCAAAACCACCCAGTGCCCTAGTTGCACGGAGCTTGTTTGTGGCCCCTGGGGCTAAGCACTGGGCAGCCTCGTGAGTGCTCTCTCTGCGGGCACTCTGCCCACTTCCCTTCCCCCCAGATTGGCTCGTTTTCCCATCTTCCCTGATGAGTAAGTTTACCGTCAACAGCAGCATTACCAGTGGGTGCTTCGATGAGTTCCGTTTAATGGACACCCACACCCCCGTCAACCCACAAGGGAAGGTACAATCACTAGCTCTTTGTAAAGATGAGAAAACTGAAGCACAAAGGGGACAGTAATGGGCCCAGGGCCCCACAGTGTAAGTGGGTAGAGTCAGAATTTGGGGCACCTGGCTGCAGAATCCACAACACACTGCTGCCTCGTGTAGACAGGGGCCAGCAGAGTAACTGCCCCCGACCCTCTAGACCAAGTCAGTACTACCACAGCGGACAGAGCATCGCGCACAGGCCAGGCGCAGCTGAGAGACTTGACCTGTGTTTCAGAGCGCGCTCACCAGTAGAGGATGGACAGCATCACTCCCGCCTCACAGCGCAGGAAATGGGAACAGCACAGGCTAGAGTGCCTTGGTCCGCCCTGAGTCACTGGGCACCTAGACCGGCTTCCAGGCACCACCTTTAACTACAAGATGTGCCTCTGGCGATTGATATCCCAGGTGATTGATATCCACGCCCTCACTTCCTCTCAGTGTCTGCTTGAGACAGGAGTCTGCCTTATTTCTCACAGCCAGGAGCCAAGCGCAAACCTTTAGATCCCCCGAACAAATGCTAAGTTCCGGAACAAGCAGCAGGTCTGCAGGCAGCATCCGCCACACGGAGGCGGCTTCCCTGTCCGCTCCTGGGTGCGCTGCACCTGCCCCTGCCTCACCTTGATCTCCAGTTTGTGGTTGATGGCCAGTGCCGAGTGCTCCAGCGCCTTAATGACAGAGGCATAGGAGTCGGAGAACTTGGTGTATTTGCCCACAAGGGCAATGGAGCAGGTCTCCAGCAAGCGGTCGTATCTGCCAAACAGAGGTCAAGAAACGCCCGTTCACTTTCGGATGTGCATAACCTCATGAGCTCACACTTGTCTTTTAAGGAGAGCATGTTGGGAGCCGGACAGTCACTGAGCTCTATGCACAGACAAGAAAACAGGAAGCAACAGGTGCAGAGCAACATGGCAGGCTTGTTAAAGAAAGTCAACTGCAGAAGCTATTATAAGGAGACTATTTGAAAGCCTCACACAAATGGGCCAAGACATTTCCTTACATCTCAAAGGGTGCAAAAACCAATAAACATGAACAGACAACAGTCAATGTGATGAATAAACTAGTATAAAGAAAACCATTTACTCTGCTAGTGAATCAAGAGAAATACAAGTTAAAAGGAAATGCTGTTACAACCTTTCAATCAACCCCAATCCCCCTAAAAGTAATAAACATACGAATGACAGAATGTTACACTAACCAGCTGTAACTTCTAAAAAGAAACGAACATATAAATTATGGCGAAAGGCAGCCAGACACTAAGTACAACAAAGTGCTTTATGAAAAGGATCATGAATGTGTACCATTTTTATGGCTACATAAAGGTAGAAGAGGGAAAGTTAAGCCATCAAAACGTGCAGCTATTGATGGTGCTCAGGTATCAAAAGCTGTAGCGTCTGGGGTCTTAAAGGCTTGGAGTTAAACAAGCAGCCATCCAGCAGGGAAGCAACAAGCCCACATGGAAGAAGCACACGAAGCTGTGTGATCATGAGGTGTTAACGAGAAGAGGTATCAAAGAAGTTCAAAAAACATGCATCCAAATTGATATGAAGGAGACTGGATGTAGTGGAGAGCCAAAGTCCACTGGCAAGACAACTGGACCATCCCTCTTAGAAGGGCCTCACGGAACGCAGGATACATCCACGGTGCGGTGATGAAACACGTAACTATCCTCTAGTTCTCTAAGAGTTCCTCCCCTTTCTATTACGGTCCATGCGTAATCTACCTCTTTGGTCATGTTAGACTTTCGTATGTTCGTTTTTTGCATTTAAGATCACTCGGTCGATGGTAGTCCAGATAGATGGCCGCTCTGAGGCACTGACAGGAGTAAAGGTTCCCTGAGAGCACGGGAAGTGGGGGGGGAGGGGGGAGTTGATGGCCCCCAACAGAACTGTGTGGGAAGGGATATATTGGAATGAGTGAGATAATAAAAGCACTATTTTTAAAAAACAAAACAAAAGCGCAGCGATCGTTCCTCAACAGCCCTGAAAACCATTCACTAGTCTGTCGTTGGTAAGTCCGTCCCCACTCGGAGTGACCCGTGTGCCACACAACCCTGCCCGGTCCTGAGACCCTCAATGGCTCCTACGCTTGAGACCACTGTTGGGGCCACTGTGTCAATATATCTTCTTGAGGGTCTTCCTCTTTCATTGCCCCTCTACCAAACTTGATGTCCTTCTCCAGCGACTGGTCTCTCCTGGCCACGTGTCCTTAAGGGACTCGAATTATGTTCCTTTGCAATGGTCTTTGAGTTTAGAGGAAAACAAGTAGGAAGAAACCAGACCGGGGCTGTAAGTGGGCAGGGTGAGGTTTCACAGTGAAATTCTCACAGGGCAGCTCTTGCTGCCTTAGAGGCAAGGATGGCGAGACTTGTCTCACATACGTGGGCATGCTGTGGGAGAGACCAGTCTCTGGAGAAGGACATCAAGGAGATGGACTGGCATGAAGGCTGCAACACTGGGCTCAAGCACAGGAACAGCCCTGTGGATGCACGGGCCTGGGCAGCTTTTTCCTGTTGCACACCGTCTGCCTACAGTGGAACTGACTCCACGGGCCTGGCCATGACAGGTCTTGTGGGGATGAGTGGGCAGGTGCACTGTGATGAAAATCACTTCACCAGCACAACCTTCCTGGCATTGTCCTCACAGTGCAAGTTTTCCGTTTCCCTCGGGCTTCTTCCTCAGCAGTCCCACAGTCATCCTGTCATTTAAGAAACGTTATCAGGATTACCCCTACGTGGTGTAAACGGGTCCTGTGTTCTCGGTAAACTGAAGGAAAGGCCGCTCAGGCACAGGGGGAAAGGCCTGGAAATCTAGTTCTGAGGGGGAAAGGCAGTCAGTCGTTGAAAACCATCTGAGCACAGCAGTGCTCGGGCACACACGGGGCTGCCAGGAGTGGGGAGCACCTCAGCGGTGCTGGTTTTTGTGTTTTATTATAGAAAAGACAGGACCCTTGCTGATCCCCTCGTGAGCAGCACGTTCCCCATCACACAGCGCTCCAGCCACGGTCAGCCCAGAAGGCAGGGGACACTGGTTTGAACTGAGATTGCGCAGCGGATGAGAGAGAAGTGTGGCCCAGAGTGATCTGGACCTGCTTGCTGTCTAGAGTGAGACCAGGATTCCCTCCTCGCAGCAACTGGCTGACAGCGCAGAGCCCTTCCTACAATCCTCACCCCTGTCCCTGTCGAGGCCTTCCAAAGTGGAGCCGGCCTGCCCCCAGCTCCGTGCTGAGGCCCACCTGTCAGCCATCTCCTTCCACTTCATCAGCATTTTCCGGGGCTGCCTCTCAATTGGGAGATCCAGTCTTCGGAGAAAATAATCCACAACCCCCTGCTCTTCTAGTAGCAGTGGGACACGGTAGATGGAGGACACATCATGGACGCAGATGACCTGTTTGAAAAGGAAGGAAAGGGAACAGACAAGGCTTATTTCATAAAAATAAACCCAAACCAACTGGCCGTGTCGCCTCCTACTGGCTGTGTGTCGTCGGGAGAACATCTGCTCCCAATTTACAAACCGCAAAAAAGACCAGCTCCTGGAGAGACGTAAATGACCAACGCGGACAGAAGAGGATCAAAAAGGAGTGGTTACTTTACTCAATTAAAAAGTCACAAACAACAAAAGTGTAAGAAGCAATTCCTGCGCAGGGCCTGTCCAAGAACACAGGGGCATCCTAACACATATTCTCAGACTCAGCTGCTGCTTAGATTCATTTGAGGAGCTTTTCCAAAAGGCCGCCCTGCACCCAGGCCTCAGACCCCCCGGGGAGGGAGGGAGACAGACAGCAGCATTTCCCATAGCACCTCACCAAGTTTGAGAAGCAACTGTTACAGACTGAATTGTGCCCTCCCCCGGCCCAAAAAGACGTTACTGTTACGCAGCCTCACAGAGGCACACACTCTGGCCAGAAAAGACAACGCCCAAAGCCACCAGAACAGAGACAACGCTGCAGGGGATGAGCATTTTCCCTCAGAGCACACAGAGCGAGAACCTTCGCCTAGAGCCAGCCTCCTGACTTCTAGCTGCCTCCACTGCGTGGCAATACATTTCTATTCCTTAAAGTCACCCCCTTGGGGCCCTACTGCTGTAGCAGCACTAGCACACCAAGACACCAACCACCTCCTTTGGAAACGCAATGTATACTTCAGCTATCCAGCAACCTCATCTCCAAACTCCTCCACCTTAACCTGTCTCCCCCTCCTTCAGCTAAACTAGACCAACCACACCATCTCAACTTACCTCCGTACCAAGCACTCTGCTTAGAAATGTATTCCATTGTCTGAGACTTCCCGGACCACAGGTCCCTCCATTAGCACAGTGACAGAAAGACGACTGTCTGCCTGACAGGCCGCAACCCCTCAGACAACCGGCACCAAGCACAGGATCACAGGCGGTCTTGTCCCGTCTCTCTCTCTCTCACACAAACATACACACAAAGGGGCAGTATGATCCCAGCAATTAAATAAACACTGCGCTATTAATGGAAGACAGGCCTGGTGATCTACTTCTGAACCATCGGCCACTGGAAAACCCGTGGAACACAGTTCTACCCTGATACACGTGGACGGGGCTGCCGCTCAGCGGGGCAGGACGGGACGGGACGGGACAGGCACTGGTACAGGCCGCACCCACGTGCCACCTACAACATGCACAGGAGGCCTACAGAACGAAGAAGCGATGACCTGGAGCTATGAGGTCGAGGAGGTCTGGCAGGGAAAGTGTTTCTGAAAATGCCCTGGCCACCTTGGGCCCTGATGGATGAAAACGAAGAGCTCAGCCGAGACGGAGCCATGGGCTTCTCCCCGACAGGAGCAAGCACAAAGCCCAGCACTACAAAGAGTGGGAGGCACCACGGAAGCTGGAAGACAGTCAGAGAGAAGGGCGGAAGCACAAAATGCGAGAACCAAGATACAAACTCACTGCCACTGAGTCCATTCCAGCCCATGGAGAGCGGAGCGGTCAGAGAACTGTCCCTGTGCGTGTCCGAGACTAACTCGGTATGAGAGCAGAGAGCCTCATCTTTCTCCCATGGAGCACCCGGGGGTGGATTTGAACCGCTGGCCTGGCAGTTGGCAGCCCAACTTGTAACCCATCATGCCACAAGGGCTCCTTAAGGGTTGAGAAGCAAGGAGCAAAAAGGCAGCAGGAGAAGAAAAGGGGTGCTGGGGAGCCACAGAGGAAAACAAGGGTCCATCGCAGAGTCAAAGGGGATCATTTCTCCGAGGAAGAGTCTGCAGGCTCAACTACTAAGTGACAAACGTCATGAAACTGGTCACGAGACTCCAGGACGATGAGACCCACAAGGGTTTCCTTGGAGATCCAGTGGCTACTCACCTGTTCAGGCTCAACGTGGCAGAACATGGATATTTTCTCCTTCACAGCTGTGTCGAGAGGGTTTGAACACCTGCACACCACCTAGTAGGGGGAGAAAAACAGGCAGGTCAGGTGGAAAGACAAGATGACAACGCTGGGGGGTCTAGTCTTGAATGAAATGACCACTGACAGCACATGGCTAAGATGATGGATTAGGATGCTAACCATGAGCCCCCAGCAATAAACAATGAGAACACAGCACTTATTTTCAGAACTTAATGCTTAGGGCCCAGCTCCCACGGGAATGGCAGCACGTTAAACAGGCAGAGGCAGAAACCTAATGGGCCTTTCCTCGCCCACAACCATGCTTGGGATGAAAGGAGGAATCAGGCCTGGGGAGGACAAAGCAGAGTGAAACCCGAGCTCTAGTGCACCTCACTACCTCCCCATCACCACCAATTACAGTCAGAAGCGCAGAGCACCTTTCGGGGAGTGATTTGAATTAGCTAGGGATCACACAGGAACCAGGGATCTTACCAGGTCTGGGGAAAGCCCAAGCCCTCTAAGTTCTCGAACACTATTCTGAGTGGGTTTCGTCTTCTGTTCCCCTGTTGAACTTGGCTATTTGGCAAAG